GACTTGAAAGACACCTTTTTCTGTCTCTGCTTGATGCCAATCAGTCAACCCATTTTTACATTTCAATGGGAGGACCCAATTACCGGCATTAAAAAAAAAAAAAACCAGCTCTCTTGGACTAGGCTTCACCAGGGGTTTAAGAACTCCCCTATGATCACTGGAGAAGCACTGGCCACTAGGAAGTGACTGTGTTTTATTACAATATGTAGATGATCTTTTTGCAGTTCCCTTTCCTATCTCCAAAGAACCAGAGATCTTCTTTATCTGCTCTGAAAGGCTGGATATAAGGTGTCTAAAAAGAAAGCCCAAATTTGCCAAAAAAGGGTCAGATATAGGGGTTTTATAGTAACAAAAGGGAAATGTCAACTGGGTACTAAACAAAAAGAAGCTGTCGGCCCAGGGATTTAGCTCAGTGGTTTCACCACCTGCTGCGTAAGCGCAAGGACCTGAGTTCGATCTTGGTACCAAAACAACAACAACAAAACAACAAAAAACCAAACAAACAAAAGCAAGCTGTCTGTGCCCTCCCAACCCTGACTACCAGATGCCAGATGAGATTTTCTGGGGAAAACAGGTTTCTGCTGCATCTGGATCCCTAACTTCTCACTCATAGCTAAGCCCTTATAAGAAGCTACCACAGGGCGAGTAAAGGAGCTCCTTCTCTGGGAAGCTAAACAGAAGAAGCCATTCAAACAAATCAAAGAAGCCCTACTTCAATCTCTAGACCTAGGGCTGCCAAACATAACCAAGCTTTTCTTCCTGTATGTCCACGAACAAAAGGGAATGGCCTTAGGGGTCCTGACACAGGTCATAGGATCCTGGCACTGCCCAATGGTGTATTTGTCAAAATAAATAAATTCTGTGGCCCTGGGGTGGCCTTCATGCTTTAAAGCACTTGCTGCCACTACCCTGCTGAGGCAAGAAGCTAACAAGCTGACTCTGGGACAGCAACTGACTAGCCAAGCGTCACATTCAGCCATAATCTTGATGGACCAGAGAGGACACCATTGATTGTAAAACTCAAGAATGACTCAATATTAAGGGCTCCTATATAAAAATCTCTACATAACCTTAGAGAGTATAAACATTTTTTTTTTTGGTACTGGGGATCAAACTCAGGACCTTTCACTTGCCAGGCAGGTGGAGGAACCACAGAGCTAAACCCCTGGCCTGAGAGTATAAACATTCTTAATCCAGCTACTTTGCTCATGGTTGAGCCAGGAGCCCCCCTTCATGACTATGTAAAAATCATGGATAAAGTATTCTTGAGCTGGAGAGACCCAAATGTTGCTGGAAGGAGCCCAATGGACAAAATATGCAATGATGACATTGGACTCTGTGGTAGAGGCCTGACCTCCACCCACTGAAACCTCAGCTCAGAAGACAAAGAACAAAGGACAAAAAAGTTAATATCTATACAGATTCCAGATATGCCTTCACAACATTACACGTGCATGGGGCCATATATATAAAAAAGAGGACTCTTAACTGCTAGAAAAAATAGGCGCAGTACAAAGATACAATGTGGGTCCCAAAGAAGGTGGTGACTATACACTGTAGAAGATATCAATGGACTGAGGCATTAAAAGCCAGAAAAATACAAAAAACAGACAAAAAAGCCAACATGGGGTGCTTTGGCAGCCCCAAACCCAAAGGAGGGGCCCTGGCCACGCCCCCCATCTTGGAACCTCCTCTCCCAGAGACACTCAGCTATTCCTCAGATAAAAGAGCCTGACTTGCCTGAGAAACTAGAAAGTATCTTAAAAAAAATGACAGACGTTTGCTGATGAGAGGCTAGCTGTCCCCAAAGTTCTGGCCCCCGAGTTCGTAAAACAATTCCATCATGGGTCTCACATAGAAAAGACAAAATTGGGAACATTACTAGGCCACTATTTCTATGTGCCATGGCTCACTGCCATCGCTCCAGCTGTTTGTAAACAATGCCTAACCTATGCCCAAAACAACCCAAGACAAAAGCCCACCCAGCCCGGGAGAGTCCAGGACACAAGAGCTGCCCCATATAAAAACCTACTTATGGGCTTTCTCAGTCACCTCGAGCTTATAACTATCAATATATGTTGATACTTGCTGGTACCTTCTCAAAATACATTGAAGCCTTCCCCACCTGAACAAAAAGGACATGAGAGGTGACCAAGGTACTGTTAAAAGACATCACCCCAAGATTTGGACTGGTTTTGACCTTGGAGTCACACCATGGGCCAGCATTCATAGCCGAGATAGTTCAAGAGTTCACACAGACGTTAAAGATAAAATAGAAGCTTTACATGGCTTACTGCCCACAGAGCTCAAGAAAAATAAAACACATGAATCAGACGCTCAAATAATTACTAAAAAACAAATTGTAAAAAAAAATCCCACTTGAGATTAGAACAAGTCCTACCTGTGGTCCAGAACACCCCCACTAAACCAAGTTGACAGTCCCATAGAGAATTTTGCTCAGCTGGTCACTCCCAATCACAGGTCAAATTAAAGGTAATCTTTTTACATTTTTTTTTTTTGGTACCGGGCATCGAACTCTGGACCCTGTGCTTTCGAGGCAGGCGGCAGAACCACTGAGCTAAATCCCCAGCCCTTAAAGGTACTCTTTATATACTAGAAAAATTGTCTCTGAAAAAACAAATACAGGCTTTGAAAATAGCCCTGCAAGACACCCACAGCTGGGTATAAAAAAGCACACATAAACTTAAGAGACCCAGTACACCCATTCAAATCTGGTGACTTTGTTTGGGTCAGAAAAATAAAATCCAACAACTCTAGGGCCCATATGGGATGGGCCTCATATTGTAAACTTGTTTATTTTTGTTGTTGTTAAAATTACTTCAGGATCTGTGTCTTAGATGTACCACAGCTGGCTATAGGCAACTGCTCAAGACAAACAGACCAGCCGGTAGGCTCCAGACCACCCGAACCAGCTGATCCTGTGACAAGATCAGGCCATCACCAAAGATGACAGCTCTGCTCTGGTCACTCTAGCAGCTGACCAGTCCATGCGTGGCTGAAGCTTAAAGATCAACACGGAGCCACAAGGACAACATGTTTCTTATCCTCTTTGTTATAATTCTCCCTTGCCTCTTTCCTCTACTTGTCAAAAACACTCCAGTAAACGAGCACACCACCCCTCGACTGATGGCCTTAACCAGGTACCAACCTCTGCTCAGTAGATTGTACTGAGCACCCCCTTATGACAAAAACTGACAATAATAATAACAATTAAGATGATGCTCTCTATTAAAACTTGTCATAGAAAGCATCAACAGGGGGAATGAAGCAGGACTTAAAGAAAAACAAGTCCTTCCCAGCCATGGGCAGTACCCCCGGCCATGGGGAGTAACCCCCTCCCGTACCCCGCCTCGCTCCTCTCCCCTGTAGTTGTAACTCCTTGTTCTGGCACAGGTAAAATTAACAACTATGTCCTGTAAACAAAGTTCATAACACCCTGTTTTCCTGTGATTCATAAGACACTGTCTTCTTTCAAGGCAAAGTTATAAAACTGTCTGCCCTTGTCCCATTCCGATAAACTCACTTGCTACATCACTAGAAAAACCACCCCCTTCCACAAAATGGGAAAAGCTGAAACTTCTCCTTGTTCAACGCTCAGCCATTTTGGGCAGAGTCTGATGTGCTGCTGTGTACACCTTCAATAAATCCTCCTGACTCCCATTTGATCTCTCCTGTCTCTTAGAATTCTGCGACACTAGGAGAAACTCATTTTACTCTGTAAGTGCAGCTGGAGGTATTTGTTTAGGCCAAGGAGCAGCATGATTAAGACTAAGAAGTGCCTGACTTTTTTTTGGTACCGGGCATTGAATTTGGGACCTTGAGCTTGCGAGGCAGGAGGCGGCAGGAGGCGGCAGGCGGCAGGCGGTGGAACCACTGAGCTAAATCTTTGGCCCTGAAGGGCCTGACTCTTCTGTTTCCCAGGCCCCAGCTGGAGGGGAGTGTGCCTTAGCCGACGGGTGTCTGCTCCTCCCCCTTGCTTCCCTTCGCTCCTCTTTACACCCCGACAGGTTGGGACTGTTTGTTTCGGTGGTGCCCCCACTCCAACGCGAGCAGCGCAGCCAGTCAGCGTGGTGGCTCTCCCCCACTTCCGCCACTGCCGAAGATACTGTTGCATTTTTGCAGAATGAAGAGGGTGCCGTGGAGTGGAGAAAGATCAGAAAGGGAGGGATCTGGGCCCCTTGTGTATCCAACATTCACAGAAGGCCTTCCAGAAGATTCCCTGGTTTCTACCCTCACTGAAACAGGTTTGCAAATTGGTACCCAAGCAGCGCTTCCCAGGCACTTCTGGGTTTTAGTCTAGGAGGCTTCCTGCCTGAGTACTGATCCCCCAGGCTGCAGCACAGGCCCTGTTACAGTAAAGAATCACTTCGGTGTTCCTGTAGACTCAAGCAGTGTGGACTGAGCACACTGAGCTTGGTTTTTTGGGGGTTTTTTTTGGTACTGGGGATTGAACTCTAGTCCTTGTGCTTAGGCAGCAGGCAGCAAAACCATTGAGCTAAATCCCCGGCCCTGAGCTTGGTTTTTAAAGAATTATGAACAAGCACTTAGGGACCAGAGAGAGGACTGGCATGGGTTACTGGTCGCAGTGACCAGCAGCTGGTTGTGTCAGCTGTTGGCATCCAGCACTACCTGGTGTCATCCGGAGTGCTAGCAGAGATGCACTCGGTCGATTCACTAGGCTCATTGGCAACAGGGATCATTCCTTATCTTGGCCCTTTGACATACTGCAGGAACTAGCAGATGTTTGTTGAATGAAAAGCTGCGAGCTGGAGGTCTGAACACACCTGGAAAGGCCCAGGTGTCCGGCGCCGCCGCTGTGCGGCCCAGCATGCGCCTCTGGGGACGCTGAGTCACAACGCGCGGGCACAGACCTGGTCGGGACAAGGATGCGGGGGGGTGGGGCAGGGAGGCGACGCAGATCCGAGGAGGGAGGGACGCGGGGAGGGGGCGCGCACGGCACCGCAGACCCGCTGATGGGGCAAGGGTCGCGCGCGCGGCAGACTGTGGGCGGGGGCGGCGCCTGGGGAGGACGAGCGAGCGCGGCGCCCGCACCTCCGCGTACAGCCCGCGCGCTCGCCAGGGAGAGCAGCGCGGAGCTCCGGCCCAGCTCCTCCCGCAATGGCCCCGGCCATCTACTCTCGCCTAGGCCGTGTCGTCTGGCTTGCCTGCCTCCTGCCCTTGGCCCCGCCGAGCGTGGCTGCAGGTAAGGCCAGGCGGCTCCCCGGAGCCTGGGAGGCCGAGGCGGCGCTGTGCGCCCTGCGCGCTCCGTCCTCCTCCCTCGAGGCCTCTGCGGCTGCCCTGGAGACAACGGGAGGCCTCTGGGCGCAGCGACGCCTTCTCTTCTGTCCGGTCTCCCTTCTCTTTCCTGTCTCCTCTCCCCAGAGGTCTCCCTGGTACTTGAGGGGGCTCCCTTCCACCTCCTGGGTCGGTCCTGCTCGGGGGGGGGGGGGGGCGGCGGCGGCGGCGTGGGGTAGCGAGCGGATCCTTCCAGATGCCTGGGGACCTGGAACCCGCTGGACGACGGGGAGAAGAGGTCAGGTGGGGCACAGCACCTCAGGAAACACAGGCAGGCTGCTCTCGGGGCAGCTTTTCTGCCTTAAGATGTGCCCTTATGCGGGAGGTTTCCATTCTGCTCGCGCTGGCTTCGGGGAGGGGCGGGGTGCGATTAGCCTGCCATTTCCTCCCTGCGAGTCATTTCCATATTGGACCCGAAAGAACAGGTTCTCCAGGGGCTCACACCGGACGCACCTTCCCACCACCGCACGCACCTTCCCACTACCGGAAGACTGGAGCCAACCTTCCTGACATGTTTTGGGAACAATAAAAACACCCAGGTTGGGAGTTGTCAGGGACAGGTGGGATGAGGGTAAACAGTATTCAACATTTTTCATTATTCACATACTCTCCCCTATAAAAACTGGTAAGGAACGGAAGGGATCTGATGCAAACTTGTGAAAGAAAAGCCACAAGGTAAACTAAACACACCTGCATTTGAGGCATGAATTAGGAGAATTATGTGAGAATTGTCCTTGGGCAGGATCACCCTGCACAATTTCATACAGTCCATTAAAGGCGACATGCACTAGAAATTAGCAATGTATTCTAAATTGTAAGAAAAAAAAATCATGTGTGGCTGCCAGCTAGTGGCTTGTACCCTTGACATTGTCCAAATTACAGTACCGGAGACTGGGTTGGGGGACATCCCTTCTTCCTTTTCCCACATCCAGAAAAGGAACACCGAAGCTCAGAAGCCTTTTCTACCCTTCCTGTGTCAAGATCATTCTGCATGAATTTGTCCTGCACCAGGACTCTATAAGTCATGCACAGGGCTGTTCATTAATTCCAGGTTGTGTTATCCTCATGTCTGGGGTCCTTTGGAGAGGTCTTGGGCTGTATGTGTTGGGAAAGGGCTGGTGTAGCCATTTTCTAGAGTGTTCAGGACTCTTGAGTGGACACCCTGGGGACCTGATAGGTGTTTCTTCCAGGGCAGGCTTTGGGGACAGTTGCCCCTTGCCGTTTTGCTTTGGCCCCGTTAGCTCTGAATCACTTAGGGGCACCTGTGGAGCCTCCCGGGCTCATTCCTTGATGGCTCTGTACTACTAGGCTGTCACCAGGGCTCCCAAGCCTGGAAAGATGAAGTCGAATGGGTTCAGGAATCAGCAGGCCCTGGCTTGATTCCTTCAGCCATTCTTGGCAAGACCTTTATGGTCCATTTCAGCCCTGATGCCCTGGGGAAGAAAGAAGGACACCATCCCCTAGGGCACCAGTGGTGAGCCTGGAACCTATGGCAGATGTGCTGCAGCAGGCTGTTAGTATCATCGAAAGCTCTACAAGGTTTGCCATCACTGCCTTTGGGGCTCGGAGACACGTGTTTTTCCAAGTCCAACCTAAGCAAAATGACCTTGCAGCTTCCTCATAGTGGGGCAGGTGAGGAGGCTCCCATGAGGTGGGCCAACGCTCGAGCACTGTCTGCAGCAGCCGTATCCCCTCCTGGCCCATCTTTCTCTTCTCCCGACCCAGCTGGCTGCCCCCCTGATTCCATCCGCCTGGCAGTGGATCTCCGTGGTGCTGACATGTATCCACCTTACTGCAGATGCTGGGTGCCCGTTAGCATGCAGCTGAATGTCTCTGGCACTTGTCAGCCTCACTCTGGCCCACACTTCTTGCCTAGGGGAGGGACAGAGGATGCAGGCACAGGGAGCAGAGGGAGAGGGGGGAGGTGGCCTCTCATCCCAGCACTGTTCTGCGAAGCCTGGCCAGATGCTGCCTCCCAGCCAGAGGGAGGAAGAATGGAGGTCAGTCCTGAGGGTAGAGATTGTGGGGGAAATCTGGACAGCAGAAGGGGCCCATATGGACCTCGGGTCCCCTGTGGAATATGCAAATGGTTGTACTAGCTTGGCACAGTTTCCACTCCAGTACCTAGAGTTCTGTCTTTGGGGTTAATACGGTACATACACTTTTCCAGTGGCAACATTTCCTTGAAAGTGACCAGCCCTTGGCATCTTGACTCAAATGGCTTTGTAACTCAAGATCTGACCCTGAAGGAAAGGGATTCAGAACAGGAAAGGTAGGATACAGGCAGGAGGAAAGGCGGGAACTGAAGTCCATCGCGGCAGCAGGTAGTATTGCTGGGAGTTGACTGGGGCACACCTGAGGACAAACCCACCTCCCGGTTCGGCTGAGTCTACCGTGTCCTATGTTTCTGTCCCCCCCACCTGTGGAACTGAGACACACAGAAGGGACTCAGCAGGGAGGCAGTGCCAGGTGGGCTGGTCCCGGTGCCACACCCTGCCCTCCAGGTGTCCCTCAGAGGCAGCAGTGCTGAACACCTGCTGTGTGCCAGGTACTTTCCTTTGCACAGAGGAGCTAGAAATGACCTCTGTCCTCAACCAGTCTAAAGAGCGCTGGAGGAAAAGAGGAAACCTTAATTCAGTATGGCATTGTGACAGCAGTGTGTTCAGGCTGTCAGGAGAGCTCTGAGGGGTGAGGGTGGAAGGTGTTACATCCATGGACAAATTGCCGGAGAAGGGCATTCTAGCAGTGAGGCCAGAAAGGGCAGAGCATATGGGGGGGACACAAAAGGTAGGTGGCTGGTTGCAGCATGGATGTTCCAAGATGTGAACCTGGATTCCAACGCTAAGGCTGGTCCGTGATCAGATTGACTGTGGAAGATGCTCACTGGGGAGGGGGCACTGGAGGCCAGGGGCCGTAATGGAGCAGCAATTCAGACAGCTGCATGCTGGCCTTGAGCAACGGAGTAAGTGGTGACAGAGCAGGAACATGCTCAGGAGGGAGGTGTTAGAACAGCAGAGGCCTGAGGATTGAGCCCTTCCTGCCTATACTGGGGATTGAAGCTAGGGCTTTCCCACTGAGCCACATCCTTTCCTTTCCTTTCCTTTCCTTCCTTTCCTTTCCTTTCCTTTCCTTTCCTTTCCTTTCCTTTCCTTTCCTTTCCTTCCTTTCCTTCCTTTCCTTTCCTTTCCTTTCCTTCCTTTCCTTTTCCTTTTCCTTTCCTTTCCTTTCCTTACTTTCCTTTCCTTTCCTTTCGACAGGATCTCACTATGTAGCCCAGGCTGGCTTTGGAAATTGCAGTGATCCTCCTGCCTCAGCCTCCCAAGTGCTGGAATCACAGACGTGTGCTGCACACCCACCCTTTATTTTTTATTTTGAGATAGGGTCTAACTAATGCTAATTACTCAGGCTAGGTTCAAACTTGTAATCTTCCTCCCTCACCTTTCCAAAATTCTGGGATTAGTGCTGTATACCACCATGCCCTGCTGGGGATTGATTCCTGGGGCAGTTGGCATAACAGTGTGAGAGGAGAGAAGAAATTCAGAGAGTTAGGCTAGTGCTGGCTAATGGAAAGTTGCTCAAGGATAGAAATACTCTCTCTGAGAGTGGCCTTTTAACCACATGTGGCTGTAAAGGAGTTGGAATGTGGCTAGTGTGATCAAGAAACTGAATTCTTAGTTTTACTTAAATTTAAGTGATCAAATTTGAGTAATTTGAATTTAATTACATATGGTTAGTAACCACAGTACTGCCTAGAAGCCCATGGAGGGCAGAGAGCCTGAGCAGCAGCTTTGTGGCTGGCTCTGTCAGCTGAATTTGGTGGGGAAGGTAGGTTGGTGTGAAATGGGCCCATGGGGACTGCAGCCTTCCCGCCTTTCCTTTTGCCCGGGTGCATGCAGTGGGTGCTCCTCTCCGGGCCCTGGACACTCTCCGACAGCAAGCCCTGCAGACATCTCACGTGCAGAAAGAACCAAAAGACAAGAGCAGTGCTACATGCCCTCCTGTGCAGAGCACTGGCAGCCAGTGTGAGGGGTGCGTGCATTAGATCATACCTGCTTGAGGGGTTGGCATGCAAAGACTGAAATTGATATCAATGCAACCGTACTTAAGCTTTTGATACGTTATCCTGTGAAAATAAAAGAATTCAAAATTGTGGGCAATGTGTGATATGACTAAGGGAAAACTTTCTATGCATGAAAAAGAAGAGGACAACAGTATGACAACAGTTGTCTGTGGAAGGTAGAACAGTGGGACAGCTTTAATATTCTTTATGCATACTTATTACTTTCGAAGAAAACCTTATATTAAAAATTTTATTGTTAGCTTGGCAATAGTGGCCCATGCCTATAATTTCAGTTATAGCACTCTGAGAGGCTGAGGCAGGAAGATCATGAATTCCATCCCAGCCAGGGCAGCTTAGCAAGACCTTGTCTTAAACTACAGAAAAAAAAAATTGTTTTTAAAAAAGAGAGCTGAGGATGTAGCTCAGTGCAAAGACTCTGGGTTCAGTCCTCAGTACCGCAAAAAAGAAAAACCAAAACCAGTCATTCACAATCTTACCTCTCTATATAAAATATTATGCTGTCTAACATAGCTGAATAATGACTCAGGAAAATGCCCACAATACAGAATTGAAAAAAATGAAATACATAATTTCATATAAAGAGCATAATTTGAAAAATACACACAGTCCTTTATATCCATGGGTTCTTCATCCCACAGATTCAACCAACTATGGATCAAAAATGCTGAGAAAAAATTGTATCTGTACTGAACAGGGACAGAGTATTTTTTCTTGTCATTATTCCTTAAACAATACAGCACAATCACTTACATAGTCTTTAGATCGTATTATCTACTATAAGTAATCTAGAGATGATTTAAAGTATATGGAGGATGTGGGTAGGTTACATATAAACACTGTACCAATTTAAATAAGGACTTGAAGACAGGCATGTAGCACACATTTGTAATTCCAGCGCTCCAGGAGGCTGAGGCAAGAGCGTTCCAAGTTTGAGGCCAGCCTGGGCAATTCAGCAACTTAGCAAGACCCTGTCTCCAAAAATAAAAAAAGGGGTGCATGGGAGTGTGGTCAGAGCAGGGGATCTGTGTTCAACCCTCAGTGCCACAAAGGGAGACAAAGAACAAAGAAAAGGATTTGAGACTCCGTGGATGTGGGCGTCCGTGGGGGGGTCCTGGAACCAGTTTCCCACAGTACTGAAGGATGACTAGTCTGTGGTGGAAGGTGCCTCACAGTGGTCACAATGGCGGCTATCGACTATTTCAATTTTAAATATTAAAAAAAATTGGCAGACCTGAAGGTTGAATCCAGGGCCTTTGCAGTGAGCTACATCCTCAGCTCTTTTTTTAATTTTTAATTATGAGGCACGTTCTCACTAAGTCATTAAATTGCCCAGGCTGGGCTTGAACATGCAGTCCTCCTGCCTCAGCCTCTCAGAGTGCTGGGATTACAGCCAGGTGCCACCATGCCCAGCAGTATTTAAATTTTATTCTATACTTTTCTTTATTTTCAGATGTTTTACAATTAGTCTTGCCTTCAGTGTGGTGGGAGGAGGATGTTAAAGGCGCCCCCCTGGCCTCCCTCCTGTGCTCAGTTCTCAGTTCTCAGTTCTCTTCTCATAACTTACAGAATGGTCTCCAAGATCCCTGTAAGAGCTCTGAGATGTTTCTGGTCAGTTTCCCAAGGGGCTATCTTGGCTGGAATCACCCAGGTCCAGTGTTGGTCCTGGCAAGAATCCTGGAGATAAGATAGCACAGCCCTGCCCAGTAAAATATTCTGTTGCCCACTAGGGTGACCATTACCCACATGTGGCTGCTGAGCAGTTGAAGTGTGGCTTATGTGACTGAAAAAGTAAGTTGTCATTTTTAAAAAAATTTAATGTCAATTTAAATAGCCACAGTCAGAACTGGGCTTGGTTACCACTTTGTAGAGTTAGAAGTGAGATCCAGGCAGAAGGGAGTTTGTTTCGGGATCAGAAGGAACCTCCCCAAGGCTTGTTCTGCCTCTGTCAAAGCCTTCCAGCTGTAACAGGGTTGATTCTAAGGGAAACAACTCTTACTTTAAAATCTAACCTGTAGCCTGGGGTTTTTTTGCATGCCTGTAATCCCAGCACTCTGGTAGGCTGAGATGGGAAGATCTCAAAGTCAAATTCAACCTTAGTGACTTATTAAGACCCTATTTCAACCCTAAAAAAAAATGTATATATATGTGTGTATATATGTAGTTGAGTGCAGTCCCCAGTACTGAGGGAAAAAATCTTACCTTATGTATTGGACAGAATATTATGTAACTATCTAAAATAGTTGAACATTAACGACTCGGGACAAGCCCCATCTTTCACTGAGCTTCATTTTTCAAACTTAAATTTTGCTCAGCATGGAAAGCCTAGTCCACATGAAAGTGATGGTGTGGGCTCTTCCGTGACAAACACAAGCTGTCATTGTCCAGGTGTAGTCTGCTTAGGTCAGACTGAGCCATTACCTGTGCTCCATAAGGCATTGGTTGTCTGGTGAGGAAAGAAACCAACTTGGAGACGCTTGTAAAAAACCTGTGATTTGGAGTCAGTTAGGCTTTGAATCCCAGTCAGTGAATTGGCTGTGGGACCCTTGGGCAGTTCATCTGAGCTGCCTGAGCCTCAGATTCTCCATGGCTAAGATGGAATACAGTGGTTCCCCCTTATCCATGGTTTCTCTTTTCAAGGGTTCATTTGCCTGTGGTCCACCAACACTGACATTTCCCAGTTACACTCCTTTTGATGCACGGTGCTCAGAGGTTAAATATCCTGCCCTAATGCCACCTTTTTTTTCAGTACTAAGTACTGGACCCAGGCCCTTCATGCTGAGCTATATCCTCAGCCCTTTTTTTTTTTTTTGCCAGGATCTTTCTGAGTTGCCCGAGCTGGGCTTGAACTTGCAATCAGGCTCCCAAAGGGTTGGGATTCCAGGTGTGTGCTGGCCTGCCAGGCTCTGCACAGTATATTGAGGGAACAGACTGTTCTCATTTTCATTGCATTGTATTGTTATAATTGTTCTGATTTCTGTTGTGTATGTTTTAATCTCTTACTGTGCTGATTTATAAATTAGTTCATCATGAGTATGTAGGGTTAGGCAAAGCCCTGTCAACAGAGTTTGGTGCCATTGGCTCCAGTCGTCCCCTGGGGCTCTTGGAACCTAACCCTCGCTAATAAAGGGGGCCAGTCTGCCGTCATGGAGCCACCTCAGAGGTGGCTGAGGGTTCCTGGCCATACGCGGTCCTGAAACACAGTCTGTTTTTGGGTTCCTAGACCTGTACGAACTCAGTCTTACCACCGATGGCCCCGCCACTACGGGAGCAGAGGTGACCATCGCAGCCAGCCTGGAGGCCAGGGACAACGGCACTCTGGCCCTGCCCGCCGACGTGCATGTCTACCATTTCCTCTGGATCCACACCCCACTGATGCTCACTGGCAAGGTGGAAAAGGACCTCAGCTCAACCATCAGCGTGGTGGGCAGTGTGCCTGGGGACTTCCTGGTCTCTGTCTGGGTCACTGCCACCAGCTGCAGGATGTGCCATCCGTTGGCCCGGAGCTTTGTCGTTGTCGCCATCACAAGTGAGCATTTTTCTGTTTGCTAATTTTCCTGCAAAGCCTTGGTGCAGAGAAAAACCCCCAGTCTCACCGATCATCACAGAAATGCAGATTCTACCCATGGGTGCTTCTGCTATCAGCTGTGTTACAAAGGAATAGAAAAGGGTTACACCTCCCACTGGCATCCTTGTGCTGAAATGGACAGTTAAAACAGATATGGGTACCAGGGATATAAATTATTCTGATCCTTTGGAGATCACTTGGTCATAGTGATGAAATTATTCTAGTCTTTGGCCTGATCATTTATTTACTGATTTTTTTTTCCTTTTGCAGCACTGGGGACAGAAGCCAGGACTTGGTGGATGCTAGGCAAGCGCTCCAGCACCGAGCTAACCCCCAGTGCTATTTACTGATTCTTTCTCCTGTTTCCTTCACCACACTTGCTCTCATGCCCCCTTCCTCTCTCTTTTCTCTGTTAAACAGGTGCCTGCCTTCTTGCCCTTTTGAACCTTATTGTTTATTTTTTAAGCTTCTTGTTTAATAATGAATTTATTTATTTATTTTTTGTACTAGGGATCAAACTCAGGACCTTTCGCTTGTGAGGTAGGCAGCGGAACCACTGAGCTAAAAATCCCTGGCCCATGGTTAAATATATTGAGTTAATTTTTGTAACTATTGATAATGACATTCACAACGAGTCTGCAATGTCATGAATAGATACTCATGCTTGTAAAATTACATATTAAAAAAAACAAAGCGTGGAATTGTATAACCAGTGCAGTAATCTGTGTTTAATACATGTATCAGGGCAGGGATTTAGCTCTGATTTTGCCGCCTGCTGCACAAGCGTAAGGACCCGAGTTCGATCCCTGGTACCAAAAAAAAAAAACAAACCATGTATGTATACATTAACACAGCCACACATAAATACTTTGCAGTGTTTCAAAACGTTAACAGTGATAGTATTTGAATGATAGTTTGTCCTATTATTCTGCTTTTGAGCATTTTCCACACGAGCTCTACCAAGCACATTTTACTTTGTGCTTTTGTCATGAAAAAATCAGCATTTACTTTTTTGTTTGTTTTCTTCCTTGAGAGAATGAGACTTAGTGCAGTGGCCTGACTCAGCCCAGCACATTGGGAGTAGAATGCAGTCAGTAGAACTTAGAGCTGCACACTTACCTAGCCTTAGCTAACAGTTTGATATACGGTCACCCTGCTGGGCATGGTGGTGTACACCTATAATACCAGCACTCTGGGAGACTGAAGCAGGAGGATCGAAAGTTTGAGCCCAACCTAGGCAACTTAGCAAGACGCTGTCTCAAAAAATAAAAAAGGGCTGGGGGATGTAGCTCAGTGCAAGACCCTGGATTCAACCCCCAGTACTGTGGGTTGGGGGGAGAAGGAGAAGAGGGAGGAGGAGAAAGAGAAGGGGAAGGAGAGTCATTCCTTGGTATCTGTGGGGGGATTGGTCCCTGGACCTCCATGGATGCCAAAGTCTGCGGATGCTCAAGTTCCTTACATAAAATAGTACAGTATTTGCGCAAAATCTACATCTAGCCTCCTGTGTCCTTTTATCCCTAGATGACTTTTAATACTGATATAATATAAATACTATATAAGTAGTTGTTAGCTGTATCATTTACAGGATAATGACAAGAAAAATGTCTGTGTATGTTCAGTACTAAGGCAAGGCTTTTCAAGTATTTTCTGTCCACAGTTGGTTGAATCTGCACATGGAGAACCCCTGTGTATGGAGGGCCGACGGGGATTCCCCAAGTTCCTTTCAGAGCCTGTGTACTTCCTTCCAGTTCTGGGTGTCTTTAGGGTCAGCAAATTCAGGGTTCTGCTGAAAGGGGACCAGAAGTGGAAGCTATGCAAGGAGCATACACCAGGGGTCTTCACCAGTGCCCAGACAGCAGGGGAGGAGGTGGAGCTCTCTGTGTTCAGGGCCCCGTGGGACCCTTTTCTGCCCCCAGCTCTGACAGCCTGAAGGTCCAGGCTGGGAGAGCCACTTCACTTAGCTGCCTGTGATGTCACTGCAGGCTCCTCGTTCCCTGCACCTCCATGGACTCACCCTTCCCCTGTCTTTCCCAGAGTTCCTCATGGGGAACATCGTGATCTCCCAGAACACCTCCCTGCCCTGGCCCAGCTCCTACCTCACCAAGACAGTCCTGGAAATGTCCTTCCTCCTCCACGACCCAAGCAACTTCTTCAAGTCTGCCTCCTTTCTCTACCGCTGGGACTTCGGAGATGGGTACGTCCTTATTCACCCCCACTTAGTCCCCAAAACCTGAGCTGTGGCTATGGCTGGTGTCCTGCCATCTCACAAGCTGCACAGGGCTCTGTCCTCTCCCACCAAATACTCCTGAAGTGCCTGCCGTGTGTCAGGCCCAGAGGTCCTGGGGCCACCCATGAGCCAGCTGCAGCCCTGTAAAGAAGGCCATTGGTGCCCACTACAGACGTTTAAGGAGAGTCATGATCAGTAGGATGCCTCTCTCTCATCCTGAAGGACACCCAGTCCTAGCAGGACCTTCTTTAAGTATTTGCAAAGGTTCAAGTCTATCATATCGTCCCCCAAAATTAGCATTGGAACATTAGAGTATCAAAATCTATAAAGAAGGTCTCATGAGGGAAATTAGCCAAGAAAGATGGGAACAAAGAAAAGGAAAACCACTTATCATAGGAGATCTTAATATTCTGCACTCGGACTTTGATATTTTAAAGAGGAATAAAGCAATGATAAAGGATTTTCATAACAAGTTTGAAAAAAATTGTCTGTGTGTGTAATCTGGAGCCTAAAAATAAAATAGTGCCTAAGTGTTTACAAAACTTTAAAAGAAAATTACATTTTATATTGTTTTTTTGAGATGGGGTCTTACTATATAGTTCATGGCGGTCCTTCTCCCTCAGTGTCCTGAGTGCTGGGCTTATATATAAGTGTGTGCTACCATACCCGGCAGAAAATTGCATTTAGAATTTAAAATGTCCGAACATCCCATAACAGACTGTATGAGCTTCATATTCAGTTCATAAAGTAGGCTAGAAATTTATAAAATTTGGGGGGGTGTCACAAATATAATGTGCAGAGTTTTCAGTAGTTTGGAAGTAGTTGACTCTGAAATTAGAGGAAATGGTCCCCAGGCTGCCCTCACTTCTGACACCAACTATGGGCGTTGGACCACTTGCTCAGCTGGAGAGAGTTTAATCCTCCCTACAAAAACTCACCTCTCCTACACTTGGATCTGGGATGTGCCCCAAAGGCCAGGAGTTAAAGGCTTGGTCCTCAGTGTGATGCTATTGGATGATTTTGGGTCCTTTAAGACGTGGTGCCTCATGAGAGGTCTTAATCAGCTGCATGCAGGGTTGTGTGACCCTGCCGCTTCTGGTCACTTCCCTGTTCCCTACCTCACCATGAGGTGAATGGGCCTCATCTACTATGCACAGGCACAAGGATGTCCTGTGCCTCCATGTGCCCAGCACAGTGGGCCCAGCTAACCATGGACTGAAACCCTCCAAAACTGTGAGCCAAAGAACCCTTTTCTCTTATAAGCTGATCATCTCAGGTGTTCAGGAACAGAAAGCCAACTAGGGCTGGGGATTTAGCTCAGTGGCTCTGGCACCTGCCACACAAGTGCAAGGTCCCGAGTTCGATCGCTGGTACCAAAAAAAAAAAAAAAGGCCAACTAATACAAATTCTGACATCTATTGCAATCTCGGGGGGGAGGGTTCCCAAGACCACACTAAAGCTGGATAACTGATGAGAGAGGCTTCAGAAAGCTCAGGGACAACTGTGAGGTATGATTAGAAAATATTTAAATTAAATGGTATTTAAATTTAAAAATGGGTATTTAAATTAAAAATGTATTACAGTAAAAGATATATGAGTCCCCCTCAGAATACTCCTACCTTTACCTCAAACACTTATTCCATTGTCCTTGCCCCTTTCTGAAGCAGTTCTGAAAGTCCTCTTTTGTGCTTTTAAAAGCTATGATCAAAAATACGGTGAATGCTGCTGCCAAGTGCCATCCAATGGAAAGGCAGGCTCATAAAAACAGGACAGTGAGTCCTCCTCCATCATATTCGCCAGATATGGTAGACCTAGCACTGTGTGAATTCTGGCTCTTCCCAAAATCAAAATGACCATGAAATGACCACAAGAGAGAAATGTTTTGAATCAATTCAGGACATTGAGGCAGCCCCAAGAGCACAACTAAAAAGACACTCACCAAAGAGGACTTCCAGAACTGCTTCAAAAAGTGGCAAGAGCAATGGGCTAAGAGGACTGGAAGCAAGGGGGAGAATTTTGAGGGGGATTCATGGCTATGTGGCTTTTACTGTAATGATTTTTTGAAATTTAAACATTCCCTCTAGAGTTTGGTCATCGCGTGTGCTATATTTACAGTCGCAGTTGATGACAGTGAAGTGACGCAGGTTGAACTCGGCCGAGGGCAGTGTGAAGAGTGGTGCCTCTGTGGAGTGGGACGAGGTAGTTTTCACCGTCACAGTGTGACAGTAGGCCGTGTTGCCAACCAAAATGCCAGCTCCGCTGAAACTCTTGACTCGGGATTTTTATTGGGATTTGTGTCAGTCTGCCCAACTGGATAATAAAAACCAGAGTTGAGGACAAAGGACATTTTTTTCTCACAGTCCTGGAGGCTCTAAGTTCAAGAACACGGTGCTGCCAAGGTTAGTTCTGGTGAGGCTCTCTTCCTGCCAGCAGGTTTCTTAGGGCATCCTCACATGGTTTTCCTCTGTGACGGGGTGGACTGGGCAGATACTGCTCTCCCTCCTTCCCTCCCTCCCTGCCTGTTGTTAGGGACCATACCCAGGGCATCAAGCATCCCAAGCACGGGATCTACCACTGACCCACAGACCCTCAGCCTCTCTTCCTGCCCTCCTCCTCTTCGTCCTTGTCCTCCTCTCTCTCCTTCTCCTTCTCCTCCTTCTGCTTTTCCTTCTTCTAGTACTGGGGATTGAACCCAGGGCCTTTGGACTGAGCTACATCCCTTGTCCTTTCCTATTTTTAAAACAAGATCCCACTAAGTCTCTAAATGGCCCAGGCTGGGCTCAAATTTATGATCCTCCTGCTTCAGCCTCCCAAATTGCTGGGATCATAGGCTTGTGTCACCACATCCTACCCTCTTCTTCTTCTTCTTGTGAGGTATTTTAGCTACTTTTCTTACTGTTGAGACAAAATACCTGACACCCAAAGTTAAAGGAGAAAAGGTTTATTTAGCTCACAGTTTGTACAGGTTTCAGTCCATAATCGGCTGACTCCAAGGCAGGGTGGCATGGCAGAGGAGAAACAGTTTATGGAGGGCAGAAGGTAGCAAAGTAACAAGGGATGACCACAGCTCTTTCTATCCCTTATATCTTATCCAGGCTACTTAGGACAGGTAGCACTCACACCCTTCATCCTAACCCCCTTGATCCCAGCACTGCACCATGAATCAATCCCAGCATCACACACTCAAGATCCAGCCACCTCTGAAAAAGACCCACCTCATGCATATGAGGCTTTGAGGGAACATCTAGACTCAGCCATAACATGAGGACAGTAATCTATTGGATTAGGGCCTCACTGTAATGACTTCATTTAAGCTTAATTATCTCCTTAAAGGTCCTGTGTCTAGATACAGTCACATTAGGGATCAGAGCTTCACTATGTGAATTTGGAGGGGACGCAATTCAGTCCTCAACAGGGCTCATTGCATAGTTATGACTGCTTGCCATGTGGGTGACCTCAAACTTCGATTCAAGGGATAGCATGTGCCCCGAAGCCTCCATCCTAAATCACATTGTTAGACTGTCTGGATGAGGGGCCCTCAGGCAAACAGAGAGACTCTACCTATTCTCAAAATTTTAAAATGTGATCCTAGGGGCTGGGGTCTAGCTCAGGGGTAGAGTGTTTGCTTGGCATGCTTGAGGCCCTGGGTTTCATCCCCCTGCACCATAAAACAAAACAAAACCCCTTCCCAGGTGTGGTGATCCACACTTATAATCCCAGCACTCCGGAGGCTGAGGGAGGAGGGTCCTGAGTTCAAGGCCAGCCTGGGCTCCACAGTGAGTCTGAGGCCAGCTTGGATCCCATAGTGAGACCCTGTCTCAAAAAGAAAACTCTAGTCCTAAAATGCTTTTCAGTTGAAAGTAACTTTGAAGTGTGATGACATAATATTTAGAAAAAAGTGAATGAAATATTATATATCTAAATTTAGAGAATAGTTTCAAAGCTGTAACCAGATACAAATTTATAGTTTTAAGTATTTTCATTAGTTATAATTAAGACTGAAGAGGAAGCTCAGCCGGTCCCAGCACCCAGAAGGAAGCTCCCCGCTGCCATCCCAGACTCCTGGGGCCAAGAAGGTGAGCCGGTCCCAGCACCTGGAAGGAAGCTCCCGACCTCCATCCCAGGCTCCTAGGGCAGTGAAGCTCAGCTGCTCCCAGCACCTGGAAGGAAGCTCCCCCGCTGCCATCCCAAGCTCCTAGGGCACAGAAGGTGAGCCGGTCCCAGCACCTGGAAAGAAGCTCCCTTGCTGCCATCCCAAGCTCCTAGGGCAGAGAAGGTGAGC